TGTGTGTGTGTCCTTAAATTACGTGTTTGGGGGTGTATTGTTTTATATTTAAAGGCTGTAGGGAATGTTTTGGGGATGTAGGAATTCCTTTGGGCACCTGGTCCCTGCTGTGTGATAAAGGCAAGACTCAACAGGGACAGGCTTTTGGAAAGGAAACAGGAACCCATCATGGAAAGGAGGGTAGAAAGTGGAATTAATCCTGTTGAAACTGCTGAATCCTCAACTGTGTGTGTGTGTGTGTGTGTGTGTGTGTGTGTGTGTGTGTCCCTAAATTACATGTTTGGGGGTGTATTGTTTTATATTAAAAGGCTGTAGGGAATGTAGGAATTCCTTTGGGCACATGGTCCCTACTGTGTGATAAAGGCAAGTCGCAACAGGGACTGGGTTTTGGAGAGGAAACAGGAACCCATCAGCGCTGGAAAGAAGGGCAGAAAGTGGAATTAATCCCGCTGAAACTGCCGAATCTCGCTGCCAATCCTTGCCTGATTTATTTATTTTCGTGACTGTGTGTGCGCTCCAGTGGGTCTCACCGGGAGCTGGCGGCTCCCGGTTCATCCCGAGGTTGAGCTCGTGCCTCGGGTGTGACAGGCAGATGACCCGGCTGGCAGGCCTGGATTTGGGGTGGCAGGGACTAATTGGGGGTGTCAGAGGTGGCTTTGGGGTGTCAGAGCCGAACTGGGGCTGGTAGGGCTGAATTAGGGGTGTCAGATACAGGTTTGATGTGTCAGGAGGGGCTTTGGGGTGTCACGATTAAATCTGGGCTGTCACGGCTGGCTGGGGGGAGGCAGAGATGGTTTTGGGGTGTCACTATAGAGTTTGCGGAGTCAAGGACGAGTTTGGGATGTCAGGGCCAAATTCAAGACCTTGGAGGCTGGCTTTGCGAGCACAGGGCCAAATTTGGGGTGGCAGAGCCAAATCTGGGATGTCAGATTTTGGTTTTGGGGTGTCAGCGTTTAACTTCAGGTTATTGGGGCTGGCTTCAGAGTGGCAGGGCCGAATTTGAGGTGTCAAAACCGAATTCAGGACTTTGAGCCGGCCTTGGAGTGGCAGGGCCAAATTTGGGGTGTCAAGGTCTGGCTTTGGTGTGTCAAGACCGCATCCAGGATTTTGGGGCTGGCTTTGGAGTGGCAGGGCCGAAGGCTGAATCTTTGGGGTTATTTGCGTTTGGCTTTGGGGTGTCAAGGCCCAATTTGGGATGTCAGGGCTGGCTTTGAGGTGTTGGGAGCGGCTCTAGGGAGCCGAGGTGATTATGGCACGTCAGGGCTGGCTTTGGGGTGTCAGGGGGGTTTTGGGGCACATTAAACCCCAGCCCTGCGGCGAGCCAGGGGGATTATGGCACGTCAGGGCTGGCTTTGGCACATCAGCGCTGGCTTTGGGGTGCCAGGGGGGTTTTTGGGG